TTTCATAAATAGAAATCTTATTTCTGATTTCATATTCATTTATAAGGCCTAACATATAGTATATTTGACTGAATAACATTTAATTCCTTTATGGAACTTGGAATTATTGTTAGTATAAATATGTGCATTGCTGGCAAATACATACCATTAATTCTGTTAACATAATAATAAAAATCAAAAGAAAATCAATAGGGCCGGCCAGATAGCTCAGCAGAATAAAGCCCCTGCTTAGGCAGACACAAGGCCCAGGGTTCAATCCCTGCCACGCCGTGTTGGCCCCACTCCCATGGCATGCTGAGAGGGCGATTGAGACTAGGTGTGGTGATGCATGCCTGTAATCCCAGTGCTTAAGAGGCTGAAAACAGCAGGATCACTATGAGTCTGATCTGTTAGTGAGACCCTGTAGATCCTGCACTAAATACATAAAAAAAGAAAATCAATAGAATACACACACATACACACATACATGCACACACACAAATTATAGCACTATAAAATTCCCCTCTGATCTGTTTATGGAGCAACTACAACATTTGTTTGGTAAAATTTAGTTCAATATCCTATTCTATAAAATTATATTTAAAATTTAATTTACTTAAAGCATTTATCAGTTTAAAATCATTGATAGACACAGTTCAATAATTTGGGGTGTTCTTTTTATTTCTGTGATTGACTCTCATTGTCTCTGTTGGTTTATGTTTACCATGAGAGTAAGATCTTAAAGTTGCAAATAAAAGCTCCCTGGTGCAGCCCGGCTGGCCCTGGGGCCTCAAGCGCCGCTGGCTGAGCATCTGAGCGGTAAAGCACTTGGTCCAGCTGTTCCTAAAGGATTCCGTTTTTTAATAGATGAGATTTGAAGTCCTCTGACACAGATAATACTTCTTCCTACAGATGGTGCTTTAGCTCCAGTGTACGCGGAGCCCGATTCTTTCACACTGTCATGGGCCTCACTGTGGAGCCCACAGTCCCAGGCAAATTCAGCTGCTGTTCAGTGCTCTGGACGTGGAGTAGAAAGCTTGTGACTCCCTGCTGCTGGGCACCCTGTAAAGAGCATCTCTCTTATTCTTTGGTATCGATGGCCAGTCATCACTCCCGTGAGGTACTGTTCAAATCGTTGTCGGTTGATTGCACAATAGAGATGACTGATTTGTCCATAAATCTAGAGAAATTTTGCTGCATTCTAATTTATGTATAATGTCTTTTTCAAACAAAGCAACTCCTTTAACCTACCCCAGAGCATACGGGGTGACTAGCAAGGACACGGGCCACTGAGCAAAATTAGTTTTTTTTCATTTGTGTGTTTGGTACAGGGTCTCACTAAGCAGACCAGACTCATGGTGACCCTCCTGTTGTCAGCCTCCCCAGCACTGGGGTGACATGCGTGCACAGCATGCAGGACTCAGCTCAGTGCGCCCCGGGGGTGGGGTTTGTTCTGTTTTTAATCAGGAATCTAACTTCAGACCTCATGCTCACCATGCAGGGCCCACGCTGCTGAACTCCCTCCCCAGCTCCAGTAAAATCAGAACTTATTTAGAAATAAGAGCAATTTATCTCAGGTACCCTTACTTGAATACTTTTCCTCTTATGCCAAGTACTTCTTACACATTTGAAAACACCAAGCTAATATTGACTGCTTAGAAGCCTGTGTTTGTCTTCTAAAACATTTTCTGTCTCTGTTGCAGTCTCTGCCTGTGCCTGTGCCTCTGTCTCCGTCTCTGTCTCTTTGTCTGTCTGTCTGTCTGTCTGCTTCTTTCTCTCTGCCAAGGAATATTATAGCACTCCTCTCCCTCACTCTTCCCTCCCAGCCCCGTTCACGTCTGTTCTCCACTGTCATGTTGTGAGGGCAGCTCCTGTAGACCAGCTCATTCTACGTGGTGCCTTGTCTGATTCTGAAATGAGTAGTTGAGCAGTTCTCAGGGAGCTTTTCTTTTAGGAAACAACCCTTAAAGTTTCCCTACACAATGGGGTCAATAGTAGAAACAAAATTTCCAACATATCTTTCTGAAGCTGATTATTTTAAAAGTAGAGTACTGATTGCATAAATAAGTAGCAGTTATCTTCCAGGTGCCAGCCACAGTCAAAATGAAAGTTTTCGTTTTTAAGATCTTTTCCTGAGAATCTCTAAATAACCTTAAGGAAGAAACTTGTAAAATCAAGTGACTACCACTGATGTTTACTACACTGATGATTTCAGTGCATGGCTTGCTTTGATATAAAATTGGAATTCTCTATAGGTCATGCATTTCTGTAGTTGGTGGGGCTGTGTTTGCAGTCAGGCAAAAGAAAGGGATGTTTTCAGCATGTGTTGGCTCTGAAGCCCCACAGCACAAGCCTCCTTCACGGCTCCTGTTGGCCTCTACCTGGGTTCTCTTCAGCATTGTCTTGCTGGGATGTGATGGGGCACCCTCAGGGTGATCAGTGGGAGGCCCTCTGTCTAGAGTCCAAGAGGAAGCATTCACACAGCTGCCTCCTCTGTCCTGGTTCCCTAAACAATGCATGTCCAGGTGCTGTATACAATTTGTCGTTTCGTATTGCTGGTATTGAGCCTATTATAATGTCAGTTTTCAACATGACTTTCTACTTTCCCCCTAGAGCATTATTCTCATTGTTGACTCTATAAGCTGAGAAGTTTTACTGCTCTCACATCTGAAAGTAGTGCTGAAATCCAGTGTTCCAACAACTGAGGACTCAGGTAATGTTGGTTTGTTCCTTATTAGCCCTGGAGCCTTGGCTATTCAGTCAACCAACAGCAGAACTCTAACTTCGTAGATGCATTAGAACAACTAGTTTTGAATTAGAACAAAAAGAAAGGGTACTGAAGAGTTATCCAGAGACTCTCATGAAATCTAGGCATCCAGCCAGTGTAGAAAAGGGTGATAAGCCATAAAGTACATGACGAGAGTTCTTGTAGCCACATGGAGCCTTGACACCAGGGATGGTTTACTTCAAAGGTGGTGACTGCGTATACTATGAACATGTAGGCTTTTGGGTGGGCAAGTGTTTCTATGCAGACCATTATCCTCGAACATTGATCAGCCCTTGATGACCTGTTGTACATATAGGATTGCCCATAAAAGCCCATTCTAAATATCCCTGGGCATTATTATCTAGGCTACCATTTTTTAAGTTCATTATTAATATTGTCATATATTTTAAAATTAAATTATAATATGACACAAATAAAGTGGGGAAATTTAAAATAGGAAAAAATCTACAACCTACTTCTGCATTCTAAATCCTTGATGCCACATTGTTTTCCTACTTTCTAATGGGAATAGGAAAACACTTACACTTCACCTGGACTCCTAGTCTCATGATAGTGTGTTTGTTTTATCTGTGTGAACACCCTTCTAATTTCTTGTGACCATGCAGGCAGCTTCATACATATGTGCAGAATGATCTAGTTTAGACACATTGAAAAATGGAAGCAATGAATTGTCTTCACTTCTTGTACCTAGCCTAACACCCTCAAATTTCCCTTCTTTGTACAATAGTACTCTTGATCCTATGTAAATTTGTTTGACAACAAATTTCTCAACTAATTTCCTGAAATCACTCTCAATACAGCGAACATGCTCTAGCCAAAATAAAATTACGGTAAAAAGAATAACATGGGTGTCTTAATAGCAAGGGTAAAATTATGGTCAGAGGCTAGTTTTTAAATATCTAAACATGGATTTTGAGTTAGTGACTAGAAGCTATTTACAGATACTAAGATCTATGTGTTTGAGTATCTTCAGGGACAATAAAGTTATTTTTTAAAATTTGTTTGTTTATTTATTTGATAGAAGGTCTCACTACGCAGCTCAGACTCGTAGTGAACCTCCTGTCTCAGGCTCCCAGCACTGGAATTATAGGTATGCACCATCATGCCCACTTTTGGTGGTTGGCACAGCATGGCTGGGGTTCTGGGGCCAGCACGGCATGCAGTACTGAGGATAACTCAGGTCCTTGCACCTGCCAGGCAGGTGTTTAGACCGCTGAGCTATCTCCCCAGCCCCTAAAGGTCTTTTGATAGATCTTGTTTCTTGTATTGCAGAGAAAACACAAATGGCAATGAAAAACTGCAGTGCTGTCAGTGAGTTTATGCTTGTTGGACTGTCTACTGACCCCTACACTGAGGCTTTACTCTTTGTGTTGTTCCTTCTGGTTTACTTCCTTACTCTGACTGGGAACTCCTTAATGCTTCTGGTGCTCATGGCGGATTCTCACCTGCACACACCCATGTACTTCTTCTTAAAACAATTGTCCTTCCTAGACCTGTGCCACTCATCTGTTACAGCACCCAAGATGCTAGAGAATCTCCTTTCTGAAAGTAAAACCATCTTTGTAGAGAGCTGTTTGGCCCAGGCCTTCTTTGTGTTTGCCACAGGTGGCACGGAGGCCTGTCTGCTGGCTGCGATGGCCTATGACCGCTATGTTGCCATCAGCTTCCCCCTGCTCTATGGCCAGGTGATGAGCCACCAGTTCTGTGTCAGGCTGGTGTGGATCTCCTGGGGCCTGGCCTTTGTTGATGCTCTCCTCAATATCCTTCCAGCTGTGAATTTAGACTTTTGTGAGGACAAAACTATTCCCCACTTCAGCTGTGAGCTGTCTTCTCTCTTTCCTCTGTCTTGCTCTGATACCTCCACCAACTTTACGCTCCTGCTGTGTTCTTCTGTCTTTCATTTCTTTGGAACCCTCGTCATGATTGTTTCTTCTTATACCCGCATCATCTCCACCATCATGAGCATCAGCTCCAGCATGGGCAGAAGCAAGGCCTTCTCCACCTGCTCCTCCCATCTCACTACAGTGATCTTGTTCTATGTCTCGGGTTTCATCAGCTACCTCTCACCGACTTCAGGCTCCCCTCTGGAAGTGATCTTCTCCCTGCAGTACAGTGTGGTCACCCCCATGCTGAATCCCCTCATCTACAGCCTGCAGAACAAGGAGGTGAAGGCAGCTGTGAGAAGAATGTTCAGAAAATACTTTTATCGTCTCCTGTAACAGACAGAGTCATGATGAACAGACATGGAACTGTCATGCTGCACAATCAGATGCTGGACTTTCAGGAAAGTTTCTTGTCTCTGAGGAACAATGCCACCAGGAGCACGATAACTTTTACTTTTTGGGAAATGGTTGTGAAGAGGACAGAAAACTCTCAGTATGACTGAGGGTCATTCTAATTCGGAGAAGGAGAAATGAATCAACTGAGCTTCTCTTCCAGGGAATCATTTTACAAAAATGCTTTGCCACTCATATGTGTGAATATCTATTGTTGTTGGTCATGCATTAGTCCTTCATGTATCTTCCAATAATTACCCTCTAGATTCTCAGGAAAAGTACTTCTCTCAGTGTCCTAAGTTGATCAAGGCGATAGTTGGTAACCCAGGTAGGCTGACAACTTATTACTTTCTCTTGGCAGTGCACTGAGGCAAGGTGAAAAGCCAAGATTTGATTTAGGTTATTCAGACTTTTTCTCCAGGAAATTAAAATACTGGGCAGAAACAGCAGGCAAGTCACCCTATGGAACAGATCCAACCTAAATGCATTCCTACAAAGACTAGGAACCCTGGTCTCCACACAGTCATCTATTCTGCAGGTTTTAAACTTTATTCTAAATTTATTTTTCATAGGACCACCAAAGTGAAGGGTGCCTTGCTACAGCACAGAGGGGTCAGTAAATAGGAAGGAGCCACCTAGATCAAACCTGACAAGTGACGGGCGAGTGCTCTTGAGATGGCAGCTGTAGGCCTGTGTGTGAGGGGCAGAGCTGGACCTAGGGAATCTTCTAGAAGTCTTGTTGTGTTGTGAAGGTGGGTGTATTAATAAGGAATGCAGATCCCTCCCTCTCTGATCTCGGTGACATTGTGTTTTTAAATAAAAGTAACAACAATAGAAAATTTGCTATAGCTATTAACTTGTGCCAAGAAGTGTCCTAGCTTTGATGGTAGGAAGACATCATCCTTCTGATCCCTGGGACCCACAAGCATGTTATACAGTAAGTCCCCACCAATGAGAAAAGGTCTCAGAAGTAGCTCACGTATCTGCTGCTCATGTGCCTGGCGAACACTGGCCCACTTGTGCTGTTGTGTGCTTACTGTGTTGGGCGACAGTCTACAGTAGAACAGAACAGTCAGACTTGCTGTTTTTTGTGGGGTTTTTATGTTTTACATTGCATATTTGTGTCAAAGGTGTATGAAACTCACTTTGTTGGACTAGGGATGAATCTGATTTAGGAACTTTCTTTTAGAATGGAACTCATTCTGTAAGTCAGAACTTACTGTATTATATTGCAAAAGCAAGGAAGGCCTGAGCTGTTCATGTGGGTCCCATCTTGTCCCAGGACCCCGTAAGAGCAGTGAACCTTCCCCAGCTCTTGGCAGGAAAGAGAAGGCAGAAGGAAAGGCCAGAGAAAATACACACAAGAAGCTCAACCCATGCCCACCACGGTTGGCTTTCACAGCAGCAGCGGCTCTGTCGGGGGCTGGGGGCCAACTCTAGATGCTCAGAAGAGCACCAGCCAACAGGCAGGGAGGCACCAGTTCCTCGGTTTATGGAACTGATGGAACCGAGCCTGCCTGCAGCCTGGATGAACCTGGGAGTCGGTCTTGCCCCAGATCTTCTGTGTGAGGTGGGCTGACACCTGGAGCTTTGCCTTGTAAAACTCAGAGCAGCGAAGAGTGGAACTCAGCCAGACCTCTGACCTAAAGAACTGGAAGGTAACATTGATATCATTTTAAGGTACTAAAGTTGCAGTATTTAAGTTTAGTATTTTAGAATTTGTTAGGACAGAATATGAAACAATATAGTACCTTATCTTTCATTATCATTGTTAATCCTGGCAACAAAGATAAGAGATAAATTCCATTATTAGTTTTTCTTTACTGGTGAGGAAATGAGACACAGGCTATTTGTATGCCTGAAGGAGGTGGAATTTAAGGTGGTCAGAACTGAGAGATGCTCTGTTTCTTTCTTTTTTGTATTAATCTTATTGAGAAACAAATAGCAATGAGACAGTTTCAAAACTGATTAGTAGGACAGTTTCAATAATTAATACATTGCATATTGTTGTCTTCAGTAGTGGTTATTCATTGTACAAGATGCAGACATGATATCCTGTCCACAAACACTATTAGTACAAATCTTTTTTCTCATTGAATTAAGAGAAAGTAGCTGTATATCTATCCTATTTTGTATATACAGATACAAAATGGTCCTTCATTTGTATCCCTTTTTTTTTTGTTTAGTTTTGTCAGAGATGGGTACTCCACTGCCATTTAAATATTGTAGGTACGTGAATTCAGCCAAATAATCCAATATAGTCCAGTAGTCCATAATATTAGTGGGTTATCCATAGGACTGGCAATGTCAGAAGTTGTTGACTTGAGCCTTTCACAGCTCATTGTATTAATATGGCTTTACTTTATATACCTCATTTTTATACTTTTCTGCTGGATGGTTAAGACCAATACAAAGCAATACCTATATGATAAGAAATGTAACTTTTGTATCTAACAGGGTCAGTCAGATCCCCTCAGGATTTATTCTGAAACCCTGTACTGCAGATTGTAGATCTTTGTCAGTGTCAGCCATGTGGATGAGTCACGGCCACTGCTTGACCAATTTGCTCTCTATGAAAGCCTGAGAGAATGTTCTCTCCAGGTGACTCTTCTTAGGCACACTCTACATCATCGATCACTTTCCTCTGTGGCCCCATAATCTCCTTGATCAGAAAATTTGGGACAGATGCTGAGCTGCCCACTAAGTCTACCTGGTTCCCACTCCCTTTCCACAGTTATCTACTGTGGATGCTTACAGCCACACAACACTACTGATCCTGAAACAGGTGTCAAATGTGAGTTGCTGGCAATGAAACTTCAAAATTGAAAGTATTATCACCAGGCTGCTTTTTCTTTTCAATTCTGATTTGATTAGAAAGAACAGCCCTCAGGGAAATGTTACTGTACAAAGATGTGCAAAATGAAACTAGTCGTCCATTTTTTTACTTCTCATGGCATGCAATTGCCACTGTTCTACTAAGATCCATGGTTGCCTGATGCTGTGAATGTTGTGACAATTGTGTCAATAGTGGAAAGTAACAAAAGTTAAGGGAGACCAAGAGACTGACAAAGGCCAAGGCTGCAGGGTCTTCTGTGTTCAAGACCATGATTTCATTTCTTGGGTTTCTACCTTAAGGTACAGAACAGACTTCATGGATTTCTTATCTACCTGCTGAAGAAACTCCTGCCATTATTCCCATGTGGAGCAGACTACACAAAACTAATTCCGCGCTGGATTCAGTGACATGCTGAGCACACTGCTGGTTGGACTCACTGTCACACCAGGTTACCTGTGGAAGGACTGAACACTGATCAGGGAAGTATGTCATCCCACAATGCAATAACAGCCTTTCAGGACACTTGGAGGATCTGGTGAACCATGGACCTGGAGGCCTCTCTAAAACTGCCACCTCTCTTCTTGCAGCATGTGGGAGAAAGCCAGCAGCTCTTCTCATATTGTATACTGCCCAGTTAATGTACAGAATTCAAAATGAGCTGATAGGGTGAAATCAGAATCAGGGGCTCATACCTGACAGAAATCATAGAACTAAATAACTGTTGTGCCCAATAGTCCAGGACGTAGTTCTGAGAATAGAGCTTATTTTTTTTAACTAAGACATTACACTTATTGTGGCGCTTTGTTTCTTGAAAATAATCTTGCATGTATGTATTTATTTACACAGACACAATTTTAGCTAAATCCTGGAATGGAATCATACAGCATACTTTTGGAACTTGTTTTTTCTTGCCTTTCCACTCTTCTCACATAACCATGGGGCACACCCCATGCTTAGTTTTTGGGGGGCTTGTATATCTATATCTAAATACTGTACATGTAAGCACATATAAGTTCATACATATAAAGGAGTTTTTAAGTTTTTTAAGAATGTAGATAATATAAGACATGCTCTATTTATTTATTTACATTTTGTTCACACATATTCATGACACAGAATTATCGCACTCACCGTGGTGGTCTGTATCTGCGCCTAACAAGGCCTTGTTGCTCTTTTTCATTCCTCTCCCATCCATTTGAGCCTTCTCCCCCTATCCACTTACAAAAACTTTGCTTCCACTTTTCCCTTCCATTCCCTTTTGTACAGTCGCCTTTCCCTTTTCCATGCCTTCCCCCTTATTCCCCTTCCCACTTGAATGTGTTCTTCTTAGTTCCTGAGGTCTAGCCTTCATTCTGGCACTTACTTACTCTTTTGGTGTCTCACACAAGGGAAGCAACACAATATTTAAACTTGTGCATCTGAGTTATCTTATTAAAAGCATGGTTTCGAGGTGCATCCACTTACCTAAAGCCGACTTGAGTTTACCTTTCAATGGCAGATAGTACTCTGTTGTATATAAACACCACGCTTCCTTTATGCATTCTTCTGCTTTTGGGCACATGGGCTGTTTCCAAGACTTAGCTATTGCGAACTGTGCTGCTATAAACACGAGCATGGATGCATGACTGTGCCCTGAAGCTTTTAACTCTTTCAGGAAGATACAAAAAGGAGCACAGCCAGGTCAAATGGGATATCTAGTTTTAGTTTTCTGAGGGAACTCCACACTAATTTCCATCTTGGTTGTAGCAATTTGTGTTCCCACCCACAATGTAGAAGGGCTCTTTCACCCACAGCCTTGCCAGCATTCATTGTTGTTTAACTTCTTGGTAATAGCCATTTGTTTTCTAGGATAAGATGGACTGTCAGTGTTGTTTTAATTTGAATTTCCTGAATGCCCAATGGTATTGAACATCTTTTCATGTATTTATTTGGTGTTTATACGTCTTGATTTGAGAAGTGTCTGTCATTTCAGATGCATAGTTTTTGGACTGAGTCTTTAAATTTATAGGGGAGGTCTGATTTTTTAAGTTATTTATTTTTAAATCCTGCCTCAGGCTTATTTATACAAAGAACACAGGAGGACACCAGCCCCCACAGAAGGCACCCCAATGGTCACACCAGTCCTTCTATTTTTACATGAGCAGATAAGAGGCTTTTATTGTGGAGCCTTCACGGGGGCCTGGGCACCTTTGGTGGCCTTGGCTGGAGCAGAAGCTGGAGCCTGGGCCTTTGACCAGCAAGGCCTGCAACCCTTGGCAATGCAG